GGAAGCGATGACGCTGAGACCCTTTTAGCCCTATCCAACTTAAATTACAAGCAAAAGATAATATTTACTAGTGAAATATTTTTATTTTTATTTTTTTTTTTTAAAAAAAGTGTTTTTATTCAAGTGAAATAAACCATGATAATATTTTAAATTTTGTATAAATAATATGTTTATCAAATAAAAATAATAACTAATTTGATGTATAGTTGAAGAAAAAATAGATATTTACCACATAATAAGGATGTAAACAAGTCTATCAGAACCACACTTGGCTCGTCAAAAAAAAAAACTAAACTGTAAACAAGCTCGAGCTCAAGCTGGAGCCCAACATGAGCTATAAGAAGGCTAAATACAGAAAGCTATATAAAAATTCTCACTTTCGAGTGGCTTATAACTAAACGAGTTGGTTAAGTAGGACTCGTTAACTAAATAAGTTTGATCTTGACCCGTACACCAAAAAAGTAATTCAACTCGTTATTCGTTAACAAACTAAATTTTTAATGAATACGTTGGGAGTGGAACTCGAGTATAAATTACGACCGACTCGTTTTGTTGAGAAAATCTAGTAGTAAGAAATTCATCTGTAGTTGTAAATTAAGTTATTCAGCTATTTTATAATTTCTAAAACGCATATATATATATATATATATATCATTTCGCATATATATATATATATAGTCATTACATAAAACCTAACAAATTTTATCTATGTGGTAAATCATTAAATCAAACCTAATAAGTTTTACATATATAACATTAATCCACCTGATTCCATTAATAATAAAATATTTCATTAGTTTTATTTTAATTAACACAAAAACTATTACAACTTATATTAATTGAATAATAGTTATATTTTGTTATGGAATCATATAATAGTTATTATTATTATTTTATGTGAAACGATAAAGGATATATATAACAAACGCACAATTGTGCAAAGATACAACCCAAAGTTGAATAACACAACCCTACGCTGAGAAAGCTGAGAGGACATATCTGACGACCGCCTACAACTAAAAGCTCCCACAAGAGAATAGAGATATGAGCATGTCCACATGGGATAATCAATTTGCTCTGGATTGGCATGCGTATTCGGGGTTTACTGACCCATCGATTAGTACACTTGGGCGATTCAAAGGACTCACACAGGGGCCAACAACCAGACCAAAGAGACAAGACATAAAACACTCATGCAAAGAACACAAGATCAAAAACATTGAACTAACAGAGACTCAAGCAACAACAAAAAGAAATCAAAACAGAGCCCTTCCCCAGCAAACGAAAGAGCTCGGCCCGCAGTGAAACGATCGACACATGAGAGATTCCAGGTTCGATCAGCGGCTACCGAAACTGCAAATTGCCTATACAGTAGATTATATTGATATATGAAAGTTACATAAACATAAAAGATTCTATTGAAAAAGCTTTTTGTGTTCAAGTTATTTATTCTAAAATCTATATTTTTTTTATCTGATTAAGCCATTGTAATAAATTATTTTTTTTGTGTGTGTCATTGTAAAAATTTTCTTTAAATCTTATAAGCAATTGTTATAATAAATTTAATATTTCTAAGCTAATTGGTCATGATCCCTCAAAATTACAAAAATTACATTATTTATTGCACTGTATGCAATCAATATAGTGATTTGTATGCAATTAAATCGTAACGTATTGTTTATTTTAATTAATGATTTAAATTTTAAAATATAATATTATTATCTAACTTATAATTTCCACATTATATGCATAAAAATATAACTTCTAACACTATGTGTTTAATAATACTATTGTCTACCTTATAATTTTAATATTATATGCATACAAATAACTTATAATATTTATTTATATTCGTGCAAATGCACATAGTCATATACTAGTAATGTAATACAATTTGAAATATAGATTATAAATATTTGAGGATCCAAAATGACAAGTACAAAAAAAAACCTTGCATTAACTATTAATATTAGAACATAAATATATTTTAATTAAAAATTCAAATGCTAAAGGTAACAAGTGGAATTACTAAGGCGGTGTGTGTGTGTCTATATATATATATGGTGTGGTTCAAATGAGAACCAAGTTCTAGTGTGAGAACTGTGAAAATCGTTATTTTTAATTGTATGTAGCGCTATGAATGATTGTGTTTTAGTACTATTTTTAATTAGGATGAATTTTATTAAAAATAGCAGTAAAATTTGTATCAACATTTGTGAAAATGTTAGCACCATACAATGTTAAAAATAGTATCATACACAATTAAAAATAGCATCAAATATGGTTCTCACGTACGATTCTCACACAATACTTAGTTTTTATTTGAACTAGCCCCTATATATATATATACTAGGACGGTAGAGATATGCAAGGCACAGCTGGCCCAAGTATATGGACTTAATACTATATGAAGCATGCAAAACATAAAAGATAATGCGTTGAATGATGTTGAGAGTATAGTAGTTAGTTACAATACACAAAAGCATAGTTAGTATCATAGCACATTAAGTATTTTCCTTTTACAGAATCCAAAAGCATATATATGACGTATGATATGTTGAACTATATAAAGGACAAATGTCACACAAAGATAAGGATTAATGAACAGTGTTGCTATAATATTTGACTACACATATTTAGCATGAATGAACTGAGTAAATATAAACATTAAAAAGGTTATCAAACACACATAAAAGGATTACTACATGAATAAATACAATAAGTGAATTAGTTGTGAGGAACAATACATGAACCTCATAGCAATACAAATGAGTCTTTCCTTTTATTATGCCTTCTAGAATCTAAACTTCCTTGAACACCCGTCCGAAACTCAAAGCGTATAACCTTAACACACAAAAGAGTTAATAAATTTCATTATTCGTTATAAGCAAAACACATAAATAAATACATAAGTGAGAGAAAATTAAATTAATTGTCCAAACTATACTTTAAAGAGCCTTGGTAACAATTAGTATGCAGCTAAAATTTCCCATGCATATAAAGAGTTATGAAAATATATTAATGTGGTAATATTCTTCTACACAAACATATAGACAATGAAAAAAATATTGTTTCAGCACAACTTGGATGAGGCCACACTCTAAATAATAAGTTGTTTAGTCTCCTTATATAGAGTTCATTTTATCCAATTAGCAATTGTTGAGTTGAAAGATTATATGCCACAAATATGTGTACACTTTTAAACTTGAGAAAACCAAAAAAAATTATTGTCACGTGAAATAAGTAGCAACATACTGCAACTTTTTTGCTGTAAAACGTGTACAAATAAACATGGCAAATACCCATAAGCCAAATAATTCAGATGAAGATAATTTATGCAGGTATGTATGACTATAATGTTATGTCCATTGCAAATGGAGGTGGAAGAGTCATTGTTGACAATTCTCCTGGCATAGTGCTAATAATAGACTAGATCAAAATGACTCAATTAAATTATAGTGCTTCTTCTATTAGTGAAGTTTATAGAAAAAAAAATATATCAACGACGCAATGCACTTTGGGTCGCTACGGAAACAACCTCCTTGTATAATTACAAGGGTAAGGTCTGCGTACAACTGACCCCCTCAGACTCCAACCAGTTGGGAATATACTGGCCTACATTTGCATAGGGAAAGCATACATAACCTTATTACACATAGCATGCCATTCTCTTAGTCTTGGCCACATAAACAAAATCAGGCATCCTTTTTATTCTTGAAGCCATAGCAGGAAAAAGGAAACACATAAATATATTACCAAAACAAGTAAACCAAGTCCAAAGTCTTGCTCATATGCACATAAAATTACAGAGCACATAAATACACACAACAAGCAAACAAAATTATAAAAAAAAGTCAATCTATCATTCGTATCAATATCTATACACATACTTTGCTCCTATGCACATAAAACTATAGAGCACATAAATACACAGAAGAAGTAAACATTTTTTTTTTAAAGCAATCTATCATTAATATCAAGATCTATACACATATTTTGTGTTTATACATGAAAGAGCGCTTTCACCGGATCGACAGAGATGAGGGCTTGTGATCGATATTGGGAGAAGAGCGCTTTCGCCGGATTGACAGAGAAGAGGGCCTGTGATCGAGATTGAGAGAAGAGCGCTTTCGCCGGATTGGATTGATAGAGATAGAGAGAGAGAAGATGTGCGCCTGATTGGATTGAAAGAGAGATAGAGAGAGAGAGAGAGATAGA